TTTGTGCCTAGCAACGCCCCTGAACTCTTCCCTGTTATTATCGAAGTCCTTGAAAATAAGGAGGCCGGAAGAGTTCTGGCTGTGAATTTGAACAGGGATTTTCTATTCTATTCTATAAAAGGGGTAGAAAGATATAAGTAAATCTAAACAATGTATGTACAAAATATATCTGCAAAATCTCTAATATTCAACAACAAAAAATACTTAATTAAGCATATTGTGCAAAACAGCAATAAAAAAAATTTAGCTCCTATCAGATTTATAGTCTCCACCCTGCAGATAATATTAGAATCTGTCCTTAAATTACGGCCAAACCCATTTACACAGTAACCAATAAAAATCTTTAGATAAATCAAACATTACCGCCACATATCTGACTCAATAACCATTAAAACAACTATTTTCATTAATTTCAGACAAAACTATCCACAGACTTGTATCATATTAAACTGAACTTCCAATTTTCACCACTGTTAGACTTAGACTTAGACTTCTTTATTTGTCATTTTGTATGCACAGGGTGCATACAGAACGAAATTGCGTTACATACAGCTTATGAACGTTGCATTGATATTTCAAATGGCACAAGTTATAGAAAAATACAAAAAGTGCAGCAGTGGTCAAAGTGTGAACAGTGCAGAGGATAAGAGACAGTATGCAAGTTGCAGTGGTTCAGTGCAAATAGGCATTTGTGCAAAAAATGCGTTATTGAAAATAGAAATGAGATGAACAATTAAAGGGCTAAAAGTTAAAAGTTCAGCAGCATTTGATGCCCGATAATGTGCAATAGGTGCAGAGTTCGGTTTGTGGATCAAAGGTTCAACAGTCTGATGGCAGTGGGGAAGAAGCTGTAGCACAACCTGGTGGATCTGCAGCGGATGCTGCGGAACCTCTTTACAGAGGGCAGCAGGGAGAACAGTCCATGGTGGGAGTGTGAGGGGTCTTTGATGATATTACGGGCTCGGGACACACAGCGCTGTGATGAAATGTCCTTAATGGAGGGAAGAGGAGCCCCAATGATTCCTTCTGCTGTCCTCACCACCCTCCTCACATTCTTCCAGTCAGAGGCTCTGCAGCCTCCACACCACAGAGAGAGACAGCTGGTCAGAATGCTCTCTATGGTGCTTCTGTAGAAGGTTGTGAGGATGGGCGGGGGCCATCCTCACAACCTTCAGCGCCAAGTAACTTTTCCTCTGAGCACAGAGCAAATCACAGCTTGCTTGGTCTCACAATGAATCCTGGGTAAACCAAGGATACTGAGGATACATCGGACCCGTACTTCAAATCGGGCAAAAAGAAGGATGCATTTTAAGGTCGCATAACGCGGACTCTTGGAATCCGACCAGACCTCAGCGCCGCGCTATGATGTAATCGTCCTTCGAAACTGGCCTGCCAAGGACGCATCCCAGGATTTTGAACAGAGCAATAGAATCAAGGGCTGTTGTCATGATCTTGGCACTGAGGACTGACTGGGTTACTCATTTAATTCACCTGTCTAAGTCCACCCAGTGTCTTGTTACCATATATCGGATCCACCTGCCAAGTCTCTATTTAAGCTGCCTGCTTCCATTCATCAGTAATCATTACAAAACTAAAACAGGAAAAGTTTAGTCAGATTTAATAACAGAAATTAATGGGAAAAAATACATCTTAATATTCTTTATACACATTTGGTTTAATCAGTGCTTATCGAATACAAAAACCTTGTTTTATCTAAAAAATTTAGGGTGTGACAGAAAACAGAACCAATTGCAAGTAGTGACCTGCCCATACCTCCATTAATGCAGCAACTGCAAATAAAATATCCATTTATGTTTATTCTTTTTAAGTTTTGCCCATATGAAAAATAAAACAATACTTTGTAACCTTAACCACTGGGTTTAGCTCACCTAAAAGCAACTATCAGGTCTGCACTGTTGCAGTGCTGCATTTAGATTACCGTGAGATTGAGAAGTCATGGGGTTATTTGTAAAGACAAGGCACCATTCACTTCTCTAGATCAAATCCTACATAAGAGCAGGGCGGAGCTAAACATTCTCATCATCAGGAGCTTAGCCCACGATCTCAAAGGAGTAATTACAGCAACATTTGAATCTGAGGACATTTGGTGCTGTACAACAACATCACTTGCTAAGCAGGTACAGTATTACTAGTGTAACATTTTTAACATGATTTCATGCAAATTGGCCTCAAATGTCATAACTTTAACTCCCAGGTTGGTTCTTGCTTGTGAACCACCCATCCAAACCAGCTGATGCAAACTGCAGCATCTAAATACTCTAATATTTAAGGCAGGTTTACTTTCACTTACTGTAAATGGAGATAGTTTGACAGTCTGAGCACTTTTTGCTTGGCCTCCCACTTTAAATGAATGAGTAGATAAGTGCTGCAAAGACTCAGCACCAACCTCCTCTGCTGCCAAAGCCACAATAAGGGGCTATGATGCTTACTTAACCAGTGCCCTGCTTTAGACCAGACCAAGTTTAGAGGATATTTATGTTGTACGAACAGGCTTTTTTGACACTGTTTGTTCATAATATAAATAGATAATTATTTTTCAACCGTAATGAAAATAATAGTAAAATACTAAAAGCTACAATAACAAAGAAAAGGAAGCTCCCTAAGCAACACCTCATCTACCAAATAAATATCTGATCAGGTAATTGTCGTATCTGTTTGAGAATTTTGCTTACTTTCAGGAGTTGAATAAAGTCACAGAAAACAGTAATGTCTTTTTTCTTTATAGAATTTGTCAGAAAACATCAATTTAAGTTATATTTGGGTATTACAATGCAAAACAAAGTATACTAACAAAGTTGTTTCCCAGTATATCAACTTTGCTGAAGTCTTCATCTTACTAGAGCAACTAGAATGAAAGTAAACTAGGTGTTAACCACTGTGTCATAATGGGTGAAGGAATCTAGCCCATATGCAGAACAACTCGGAGACAGGGTAAAGTTTAAAGGTTTATTTAAAGGATGTAGATAAAGGGAACAGGACCTAGGTTGGGGAGACTGGTCACGGTTTGGCTCACTGCTGATCTGGAGATGAGCAGAGCTGCAGAGAGGGGGGGGAACCTTGTGGATCCAGAGGCTGTTGGCAGGCCTAGGGCTGATGGCTAGCTGAGTGTTAACCACTGTTAACCACTGTACTTATATCTGACAAAAACTATATATATACTTGCATTTCAAGTACTGTTGAAGTTTTATGTAAAGTTTTAACTGACCTGTTGTTCCATCTATTGCAGGTTTCACTGATGCTGGGGAAGGAGTAAATGTATCGTCTGCCTCCATGGTCATGTCAAATGTTTGACCTGATGTAATAAATAAAATCAGATATGCACAATAATGGTCAGGACGGGTGTAAGAAAAAAAAAAAAACTACCATCAGTTCTAGTAATGAAAGTTGAGACTTGAATCTATTTCTTCGACATCAGCAACAGCAGATAATGCCTTTACCATCCATTTCATGAATATCTGATATTACAAACTGATTTGAAAACATAAAAAAAATTATAGTGAACCAAAGTGATCTGTTTAAATCTATCAGATTTAAACAGGATTTCAAATTATTTACCTCAACATTTCTACTTCATCCTTGGGTACAATATATATATGCCTAAAGGTGACAAATTTATTTATTTAAAATGTCCTACAGAAACAGCATGAGGATGGTTAACCATTAGTGTTAATGAAGAAGGACAGATCAGTGTGTTTAGTGTCAACTGGTGGATTCAAACCCAGAACCAAAGTTTCTGGTTGAAGCTTTTAAACCGTTTTTTATAAATAAAAACAAGTACTGTACCAATATGTGCTGAAAACCACTAAGCATAGAAGAAGAATATAATTCAAAATTAATATAAAATTTATATTTCAGTTTGCAAATGGAATCAGAAACAAAACTGTTGTTTTCTGTGAAAATGAATGATGGGCTCTACAAATAGTTGGCTTGATGAGGAACTAAAACAGTGTGGACATTTTGAGGCAAAATCACAAGACAAAGTAGGAAACCAAAAGTTAATGAAGACAAAGGGGTCTTCAAATGCAGAGGGCGACCCAAAGTAAATTGTCAAATTAGTTACGAAATGGATCAAAATGAAATGCATGTATTATTCATCACAACACTCTGATCTCTATTCTATTAAAAGTTAGGCTAATAGGATGTGTGAGCTACGTACCCTGGGACAGGCCTAAAGTACAGTAAACTATAGTGAGAAGTTTGTAGTGGAAATGGATAAGATTTGGTTAGTTTTAATTCTATTAAAACATTCAGTTTTCAATATTCTGGTCATTTCTTTAATTATTTCAAGTATTTAGGTGTGACACAAAAGCAAAAACAAACAAACCTGTAAGGAGGGACTTGCCAAAAACTGTAACAACTGCAAGTGCAGTAAAAAATTCCCTCTGATGCATATTTTTGAATAGTTTTCTCTAAAACTTTAAAAATGAAAATAATATAAATTAAATATTTGATCAAGACAGTAATCATGATTAGACCAGCAAAGGTATATTTACTCACTTTGTATGATGATGGTGAGCAAGTTACTGTTTGGAGATTGATGTCCGTCAAGGTAAAAACATGTTAGGTCTAAGTTAGCAGGTGACCTTTGCTTTGCTAAAGACAAGATCTCTCCTCCTTTTACTGTTTTCTGACAATTAAACCTCCGAGCTTGACTTCCTCCAACAATGACGAAATAACACTCAGTAACAGGAACAGAAGGTGGAGGCTGACAGTCTAAAGTGACCGAGTCTGTCTCTGTGATCACCAGTGGGTTCACTGTCAGTGTAGGTGGAACAAGGTCTGAAAACATGAACAAATAAAGAGCAGAAAATGTAAAATATGAGTGAGGAATATTCAGTGTATCTGTAAACATATGATACAAACATTTATTTGTAAGAATGTCATAATATAAATGAAGCTGAAATAACATTTATTTTACAGACTAATATTGTATCTATATAGATGGTAGACCTTATATGATGGTAGAGTTAATAACCTACTGTTAATCATAACTGATTGTATGTTACTGTCTGGAGACTGATGCTGTCCTCCATCTGTCTTCTTCACAGTGTAATAACATGTTAGTTCCACCTCAGCAGGGGAAGTTTGAAATGTCATCATCAGGAGCTCACGTCCTGACATTGTCTGCTTACAGGAGATGATTTTAGTTATCTTTGATGTTATGAAGTATAAAAAACATTTATCCACAGAAACAAATGATAAAGTCCCACAGTTCAGTGTGACTAAGTCTGTCTCTGTGATGAGCTGTGGAGTCACAGTCAGCTCAGGTGGAGGAACTAAAAATAAAATGAAACTAATATAAATTAAATATTTGATCAAGACAGTAATCATGATTAGACCAGTAAAGGTATATTTACTCACTTTGTATGATGATGGTGAACAAGTTACTGTTTGGAGATTGATTTCCGTCAAGGTAAAAACATGTTAGGTCTAAGTTAGCAGGTGACCTTCGCTTTGCTAAAGACAAGATCTCTCTTCCTTTTAGTGTTTTCTGACAATTAAACCTCCGAGCTTGACTTCCTCCAACAATGAAGAAAAAACACTCAGTAACAGAAACAGAAGATGGAGGCTGACAGTCTAAAGTGACCGAGTCTGTCTCTGTGATCACCGGTTGGTTCACTGTCAGTGTAGGTGGAACAAGGTCTGAAAACATGAACAAATAAAGTGCAGAAAATGTAAAATATGAGTTAGGAATATTCAGTGTATCTGTAAACATATTTTAAGACTCTTTAAAAATAATATTACTGTTTATGGAGATGATGGTTGATTCACTGTCTGTTGATGTAACATCTAAAGCTCCATCTTTTACACTGTAGAAACATTTAACTTTGACCTCAGCGGATGATAAATTCTCTGTCATCCTCAGCAGTTCAAAACCTGTCAGTGTTTTTGAACAGGAGGAGGCTGCAGACATCTTTTTGTTTTCAATGTAGAAAACACACTGATTAACATTAACATATGAGGTTGAACACTTTAATGTGACCAAGTCAGTCTCTGTGATCAGAAGTCGATCCACCTCTACTTTAGGTTGAGGAAGAGCTGAAAATTTAGAAGCATTTAGTTGTCAGATTTGATCAGCAAAAAAAATTATATTTACCACACAGACATTTAACTGAAACTGACCTTTAGCTCTGGCTTCATAAGACAAATCTGTGAAACAGATATTGAAAAGAAAATGTAGATGCAAGATGAATATCTTTTATAAATGCATATTTTTATTTTCAATTTCTAAAACATTTCAAAAAATCCCGGACTTTATGTAACAGAATTATTTTAAATAACACAATATCAAGAATAAGACACTCAAACTTACTTAGGAGAATGAAGAACAGCAGCTCTAAAGCCATGATGAAGCTTTGGATGCTCTGAACAGAAAACATTGGTATGTTTCCTGTCTAATCTGACTATGACCGATGTAAGTTTCAGAATCTACTGTTAAAATAATCCACATGATCAGAAGTGGACCCTCCCCCTTGGCACAGGAAGAAGTACTTTATATACCTTATAAACACACCACATCTAAAATACATAGGTGTTTCAGACCACATGACTCACAGTATCGATTAACCATACCAAAAAGGGAACCATCTATTTTTTGTACCACTAACGTTACTGAGAGAAATGTTAATAAGGTTTCTATGTTTCAGTTCTGAATCCCTTGCATGTTCTCACTTTAAAATGTTTAAGTAATGCAGTCAATCCTGTTGGTTAGACTTTCCTTTCTGATTCCTATTAAGTGTCCTCAGAGGCAGCTTTTTGATCACAGATTTAAAAAAAAAAAAAGGTTAAACAAATATCTTAATTAAAGATATGTAGTGCATGATGTAACTCAAGAAAAAAATTGCAATGTTAGTAAACTGGTTTTAGGCAAAATATTCCCACAAATTAAATACACCAGAGTTATGTCCATAATAACTTTATTTATCCAGAAAGCAACAAAAAACTTTCAAAATAAAAAATAATAATTCACCAAAAAGAAAATGTACATACTGTTTAACATAGCAGTTCTAAAATAATAATATAATTGAACTTTATTTCAGATTGGATTAATTTACCTGTGCATTTAAGCCATCCCCTTGGGGAGCAATGGGCTGCCATCGTGCGGCGCCCGGGGAGCAGTGTGTGGTTAAGGGTCTTGCTCAAAGACCCAGAGTGGCAGTCTGTGGGAGTGAGGCTCGATCTCAGGACCTCAGGATTCCATGCTCTATGCCCTAACAACTAGGCTACCACTCCCCAATAAAGGAATCATTTAATCAGTTTGATTTATTACAATATATCTGAAAATATCTAGGAGTAACTTTTTGATCAGTTTAAATCAGTTTATGGTATTTAGTAAGTTCAGGCAAAGCTTTTATATTAAGACTGTTACAAAATCCTTAAAGAGGCAATAAAATTAGGAAAACAAAATTACAATGCAAGTATTAGTAATCACAGCAGATAAAACATAATGGATCATCTAAATGATTTTTATTTACACTCAGTCTGGCTGCAGTTCACTTGTCTGAGGCTCTGGCATTCAGTTGTTACTCTGTGAAAGCAAAAAGGCATTTATTAAAATCCCTGTAGAAATGTTTTGCTCGACTTTTTCACCTATTGCTCCCCCTAGTGGTCAAGCTACCTTGAACGTTATACAGTAGTTCCTTCACAAATACTAACAGTTTACCAGTGTTGCAGCTGCAGTTAGCAGCACTGTAGGTTCATTACATTCTGCCTGTAAATGATGTAATAACATGGAGAAGGACATTTTCATTGGAAAAATAACATTTGCTTAATGCATCATGTTATCATTTTAGCACAGGGTACTTTAACAAACCTCTTTGTTGTTTAAAATGAACATTGGCATTTGTTCAACTGAAAAGATCAAAAAGAGATATTTTATATAAGAAAGCATAAAATCAAAAAGCTATTATTACTGCTGCCTGGCAAAGGGGTGAAAAAAAAATCACTTTTTGTTGATGAGTAAGGAACTTTATTTCATCTACCTGATATTTCAGTTTTTGATCTAAAGCAACAAAGGGAAAAAAAAGTTATACATTGTGTGTTAAATAAAATGGAGATTTTAAAAAGACACATTTTAGATACAGAAGAATTAAAAATTACGGCCTCTAATTATTAGTATTTAATGTATCAAAGCATATTATAAATGATCCACTCTTTATTAAATGCATTCATGAACTGACCAATGACCCTCAAAAACATCTCTAAGTAACAGAATCAAGGTTACTGTATAGAGCTTGTACAGTTGTCTACAGTGTGTTTCTTGTTTGGAAAATTGTATTATGAATATACCAATGAGGTGGTCAGTGGTGAGAGCTGGTCATACTTTAAAATAGTCAGTTCTGGTCACCAGATGACACATAACTATATCTGTAATAAATAGACTGTTTAAAAAAATACTAATACTAATTTTCAACACTATTTGGGTCACTTTAGACCTTTGTGCAAATAGAATGCCAGAAAAAGCAAATCTTCAGGTTTTTAAAGTGAAGAAGAGTCTGACAATCCCAAATTATGTTCCCTCTCCAACAGTGGTGTAAAATCTGAAACTAAACTGTAAAAAGAAAGAAATGGAAAATCGAATGAAGGCAACAGATCCCATGAATATACTGAGATTTCTTACCTATCTGAACGTTTCACTAAAAGAAAAACACAAATATTAAAGAAACTTTTTTGAGGGGTAATTCAGTAAATTCAATTTGATCATTTTCTTAAATACAAGTAAAATATCAATTTAACATTAAAAAAGTTGGTCTGAATCAAAACAACAGCTTAATAATGTTGTATTATAGTTTTTTTTTCTTACCCATCCTTCTTGTACAAAAACGGAAGGTGAATCCGAACAGGACTAAAGAGATAATTGTAACTAATATGATCCTCCGGATCATCAGCACTGCATGAAGAAAACAGACAAGAACAGTACTTAAGCAGTATTAAAAATAATAATTTTAAAATTGTATTGTTTTAATCTTAAATTATACTATATGTGTTCTTTCTATGTGTATATGAACTACATAGAGTGTATGATGTATACGTGGTTTAAAGGAAAACAAAGGTTCCACTTCATAAAAAAGTAAGGCAACACGCCTCTCGTTAATAATCTGGCAACCACATTTATTGTTTGTCTGTATGTACTTAAAGTACATATAGGATTTTAATTTCCCCAAAAAACACAGATGTCAATCTGAAGATAGTTGTTGCAAACTATGAAGCTTTGACATAAAATCAAAAATTATCTAATTTAATTAGTCTGTTCAATTTTGCTTTGAGGTTCAATAAAGATATCAAGAGGTTAAGTAATATTGTTCTATGGTGTTCCTGATGATTAGAGAGTCAACAAAAAGTGTGTCCAGTTGATATATATACTTCTGTTCAATATTCCTATCTATTAGATATTTATTGACTTCAACAGCTCTGGTTTATATTTGGGTGCAGTTTGCAGATTCGTAAAGGTTACAGCTTAATTAATCTGTTTTTAAAAATGTTTACAACGATAAACAGCAATGTTCAATAACTTTTGTTCATGAAAGAGGATAGAAGAATGACTTTTTATATCCCACGGTTTGTTTCAAATCCAGAAAAACAGCTGTTGAATCTATGAAGTTCATGTTTAAAGCTAATAAAGTTTTTCAAATATAAAGGCTCTGTTCGAAATCCTGGGCTGCATCCTCCAAGGACGTGGTCTACCTAGACTGGATGCTTCGAAGTCTGAAAATAAGGAGACCGGAAGTGTTTAGGATGTGAATTCGAACAGGTCTATCCTTCGGCAGCTTTTACCACCGTATGCTCTGTTGCTTAGCAGCTGTGAAAGTTGACACACAAAGCAGGTAAAGAATGAAAACCAAAGTTTTTGAAACCGTTTGCTTATTTATTCATTTTTTATTATAAAGCGAACAAAGACTACACTCACAACAATCCAGAATGGAATTAAGGTTCCATTCTGGATTGACTGACTGTATGATCTGGTTGAACTGTAAAGTGCCTTGAGATGACATGTGTTGTGAATTTGGCGCTATATAAATAAACTGAATTGAATTGAATTGAATTGATGGAACAAATAAAAGCAAATGTAATGATAGAAACCTCAGTCAGTTAAATAACATGCTGCTGTCATTTTGCACATCTCTCATGTTGCTCCTATTTTCAAATATCCATTACTGTAAAAAATGTCTATAGCTGCATATTGGTTATTTATTCTCCAGTTTTATATTGCTGAAAACACCCTACAGAATTGTATTGTTTATATTTTACCTCTTCCCTGTTATTATCGAAGTCCTTGAAAATAAGGAGGCCGGAAGAGTTCTGGCTGTGAATTTGAGCAGGGATTTTGTATTCTATTCTATAAAAGGGGTAGAAAGATATAAGTAAATCTAAATAATGTATGTACAAAATATATCTGCAGAATCTCTAATATTCAACAACAAAAAATACTTAATTAAGCATATTGTGCAAAACAGCAATAAAAAAAATTAACTCCTATCAGATTTATAGTCCCCACCCTGCAGATAATATTAGAATCTGTCCTTAAATTACGGCCAAACCCATTTACACAGTAACCGATAAAAATCTTTAGATAAATCAAACATTACCGCCACATATCTGACTCAATAACCATTAAAACAACTATTTTCATTACTTTCAGACAAAACTATCCACGGACTTGTATCATATTATGAACTATACTGAACTTCCAATTTTCACCACTGTTCAGCACCAAGTAACCTTTCCTCTGAGCACAGAGCAAATCACGGCTTGCTTGGTCTTGCAATAAATCCTGGGTAAACCAAGGATACTGAGGATACATCGGACCCGTACTTCAAATCGGGTAAAAAGAAGGATGCATTTTAAGGTCGCATAACGCGGACTCTTGGAATCCGACCAGACCTCGGCGCCGCGCTATGATGTAATCGTCCTTCGAAACTGGCCTGCCAAGGACGCATCCCAGGATTTCGCACAGAGCAATAGAATCAAGGGCTGTTGTCATGATCTTGGCACTGAGGACTGACTGGGTTACTCATTTAATTCACCTGCCTAAGTCCACCCAGTGTCTTGTTAGCATATATCGGATCCACCTGGGTTTAGCTCACCTAAAAGCAACTATCAGGTCTGTACTGTTGCAGTGCTGCATTTAGATTACCGTGAGACTGAGAAGTCATGGGGTTATTTGTAAAGACAAGGCACCATTCACTTCTCTAGATCAAATCCTACATAAGAGCAGGGCGGAGCTAAACATTCTCATCATCAGGAGCTTAGCCCACAACCTCAAAGGAGTAATTACAGCAACATTTGAATCTGAGCACATTTGGTGCTGTACAACAACATCACTTGCTAAGCAGGTACAGTATTACTAGTGTAACATTTTTAGCATGATTTCATGCAAATTGGCCTCAAATGTCATAACTTTAACTCCCAGGTTGGTTCTTGCTGGTGAACAACCCATCCAAACCAGCTGATGCAAACTGCATCTGTCAGGATTCGGCAGCTCTGCTGGCTAGGCCTTCTCCACTCTCTCTGCAGGTGACTGCTTGAGAGAGGGGTGGGGCGCCTACACCTGTGGCTAATTGAACGGCGTGCGGCAGGACTATGAGAGCTGGCCCCAGACGGCAGGAGGACGCCTGAGTGTTAACCGTTGTGGTACGAACCTGTGGCCTCTGTCTTCTGACAGCTGAACTTTTTCCCGTGCTAAAGGCAATTTTTTGTGTCTCCCAGGTCCTCGATCGTGATCTGCTTTTCCTCTGCTCAATCTGCCCACCTGAGCTCCCTCGGTGGCCCTCCTGGATCCTCCTGCTGACTCTGTGGACAAGTCTGCCGGCGCTGCTCGGTCCGGCTCTCAGCCCCTCGTCAGTCTCTCAGTCACCAGCCTCACCAAGGTCAGGCAGAGCCCAGTCCGATCCGTTCTCCCCGGTCCGGTTTCCCTTCTCAAGTGGTAAGCCCTTTTTTCTGTTCGTCAGTTTCTCCGCTCGGTACGCTTTAACCACTTCCTCCCCCCCTCTCCATCCTCATATCCGAGCGTCCCCTGTCCGCGCCTCTCTGCTCCGAGTTTCTCTAGCTTACTCATCCTGTACTGTTTGTCTGGTTTAAATAAACAACCTAAACTGCCTCCTGCCTCCGAGTGTGATCTGCATGTGGGCCAAGCACCTAAAACCCAACATGACAGCATCATTTAAATACTCTAATATTTAAGGAAGGTTTGCTTTCACTTAAATGGAGATAGTGTGACAGTCTGAGCACTTTTTGCTTGGCCTCCCACTTTCAATGAATGAGCAGATAACTGCTGCAAAGACTGCACCAACCTCCTCTGCTGCCAAAGCCACAATAAGGGGCTATGATGCTTACTTAACCAGTGCCCTGCTTTAGACCAGACCCAGTTTAGAGGATATTTATGTTGTACGAACAGGCTTTTTTGACACTGTTTGTTCATAATATAAATAATTCTTTTTCAACCTTAATGAAAATAATAGTAAAAAACTAAAAGTGACAATAACAAAGAAAAGGAAGCTCCCTAAGCAACACCTCATGTACCAAATAAATATCTGATCAGGTAATTGTCGTATCTGTTTGAGAATTTTGCTTACTTTCAGGAGTTGAATAAAGTCACAGAAAACAGTAATGTCCTTTTTCTTTATAGAATTTGTCAGAAAACATCAATTTAAGTTATATTTGGGTATTACAATGCAAAACAAAGTACACTAACAAAGTTGTTTCCCAGTATATCAACTTTGCTGAAGTCTTCATTTTACTAGAGCAACTACAATGAAAGTAAACTAGGTGTTAACCACTGTGTCATAATGGGTGAAGGAATCTAGCCCATATGCAGAACAACTCGGAGACAGGGTAAAGTTTAAAGGTTTATTTAAAGGATGTAGATAAAGGGAACAGGACCTAGGTTGGGGAGACTGGTCACGGTTTGGCTCACTGCTGATCTGGAGATGAGCAGAGCTGCAGAGAGGGGGGGGAACCTTGTGGATCCAGAGGCTGTTGGCAGGCCGAGGGCTGAGGGCTAGCTGAGTGTTAACCACTGTACTTATATCTGACAAAAACTATATATATACTTGCATTTCAAGTACTGTTGAAGTTTTATGTAAAGTTTTAACTGACCTGTTGTTCCATCTATTGCAGGTTTCACTGATGCTGGGGAAGGAGTAAATGCATTGTCTGCCTCCATGGTCATATCAAATGTTTGACCTGATGTAATAAAATCAGATATGCACAATAATGGTCAGGACTGGTGTAAGAAAGAAAAAATTATTATCAGTTCTAGTAATGAAAGTTGAGACTTGAATCTATTTCTTCGACATCAGCAACAGCAGATAATGCCTTTCCCATCCATTTCATGAATAAATATCTGATATTACAAACTGATTTGAAAACACAAGAAAATTATAGTAACCCAAAGTGATCTGTTTAAATTTATCAGATTTAAACAGGATTTCAAATTATTTACCTCAACATTTCTACTTCATCCTTGGGTACAATATATATATGCCTAAAGGTGACAAATTTAATTATTTAAAATGTCCTACAGAAACAGCATGAGGCTGGTTAACCATTAGTGTTAATGAAGAAGGACAGATCAGTGTGTTTAGTGTCAACTGGTGGATTCAAACCCAGAACCAAAGTTTCTGGTTGAAGCTTTTAAACAGTTTTTTATAAATAAAAACAAGAACTGTACCAACATTTGCTGAAAACCACTAAGCATAGAAGAAGAATATAATTCAAAATTAATATAAAATTTATATTTCAGTTTGCAAATGGAATCAGAAACAAAACTGTTGTTTTCTGTGAAAATGAATGATGGACTCTACAAATAGTTGGCTTAATGAGGAATTAAAACAGTGTGGACATTTGGAGGCAAAAATATAAGACAAAGTAGAAAACCAAAAGTTAATGAAGACAAAGGGGTCTTCCAATGCAGAGGGCGACCCAAAGTAAATTGTCAAATTAGTTACGAAATGGATCAAAATGAAATGCATGGATTAGTCATCACAACACTCTGATCTCTATTCTATTAAAAGTTAGGCTAATAGGATGTGTGAGTAATGTACCCTGTTAGGAGGGACAGGCCTTAAGTACAGCTAACTATAGTGAGAAGTTTGTAGTGGAAATGGATAAGATTTGGTTAGTTTTAATTCTATTAAAACATTCAGTTTTCAATATTCTGGTAATTTCTTTAATCAGTATTTAGGTGTGACACAAAAGCAAAAACAAACAAACCTGTAAGGAGGGACTTGCCAAAAACTGTAACAACGGGCTCTATGCACAGCTCCACTACTTCCTGAATTTAAGGCAGCTCCTTTGTTTCCTGTCTTTCATTACTGGACGAACTGATTAATCCAGGTGTGTCTGGCCAGTTACTTAGGTCATACACACCTGGATTAATCAGTGCATCCAATCATGAAAGACAGGAAACAAAGAAGCTGCATTAAATTCAGGAAGTAGTGGAGCTGTGCATAGAGCCTACTGCAAGTGCAGTAAAAAATTCCCTCTGATGCATATTTTTGAATAGTTTTCTCTAAAACTTTTCTATAAACAAAAAAATTAGTTTTTTTTGTTTAGTTTTTTCTAGTATTATGAATCATAACTGTCTTTTTTTATTGTTTGAAAAAACATTTTACTGTAAGTCTGAAAAACTGGAGGTCATTTTATTAGTAAAATCTGTAAAGAGATAAGACAAAACCCTGAGTCTTAAATCATTTTGATGTGTAAAAAACAAAAACAACAACAAAGAATACGTAAAGGCCACCGTCAGAAGAGGGATGGTTCACTAACAAGGTTGTTTCTCATTATATTAAAATTTGTTAAGGTCTTTACCTTACCAGAACCAAAGAATGATGTTTAGGGCCTTAAAAAGGGTTAATGAGATTATCTGGTGAGGTAGAAACTAAACCAGGAATGTTAACTGTTGTTTTTCTACTCACGTCTGAGGCAAATCATATTCAAGTGTCTTGTTTACGCACAGGTGCTTATGCTAACTCTGACCCATCCGAAAGATACTACCATTTTGGAGAGAGGGGTATATTGGCAACACAAATGCTGACTGACAGGAACCAAAGCCCGATTGCATGAATTCTTTTCTTAGACATTTAATTTCCCTTCACAGAAAACAGATAAATGCTGCAATAGTCACACAGGGTAAAAAGAGCCTGATTAAATTCTAAATCAAAGTTTGCACACATTTAAACCCCCTCCATCAGACTCTCGCAGTCTTCAGCAAGACAGTATGAGTCAAACCACAAATCAATGAATAAATGAAACAAAGAGGGAGGAATTTACATGAACTGTTGTAAACATTTAAATACAATGGTGCATGATGGATAATTTAGCCATTCCGCACAGTTTAGATGTGGGAGAATTCTGAGCAAACAAATTTTTTTAGCAACTGACAATTAGCCTGGGTGCCATTCCGAACTTAGTCCCGCCCACAATGTTTGAGGTCCGGAAGTTCGGTCTGGCATTGCTCAGTAGTAGCGCGAGTATGCTCGTACAATATCTGGCGGGCCATTCAAATTGTCAGGGCGGGCTTTATACGATGATGGACAGATGATCAACAGTAACGTAATCAACCACGTGACCAAAGCGCGAATGGGCTACAACAACAATGGCTGCCGCTGGAGAGGCGAGGTGTGTAGATTCTGCTATTAGGTCTGTTCTATAAGATGTCGACAGCAAATTAATTTTAAAAGAGGAACAGAGAAACACGATCAAGGCTCATCTTCTTTTTCTAGGCGTGCAACTGCACGCTTTGATTTTTGTTGACAACAACTGTGCCAGGCTTAACATACGTCACGCACTCCGTTGCTCTTATTGGTTGTAGGTCTATCCAATTGAGTGCAGAGGCATTTTTTTCCTGGTTCGTTCGAAACACGCCCCATAATCACAGCTCTATGGAGCAGTATCAGCCTCATATTCTGACTAGAATTGAGTAGGACTACGTGAGGCTAACTGACGATAGTTCCTGACACAGGATTTTCCCGCTTTTTTTTCCTTTTCTTTTTTTTAAGTGTCATTACACTGTCACAAGTAGGAAGACTAGGTTTTAGCTAATCAGACTCCATAGCGAATTAATTTACATTTTTAATATGGCCAAAACATGGATGAGGCTTTGTGCCACAGTCAGTTTATTAAAGCTACAGTGTGTAATTTTCAGCGACATCTAACGTCCAGACTGCAGACCGCAGCAACATGAACATCTCCCCACCGCTTCTCCCCCCCAACAGTACGGCGAGCGTTACGGGACAAAATGTCTTCCACGACGTCTGCATCACCTACCTTCTCAAGTGATGAGGTTTGTTTACATAGATAATTTTACAGGTAGTATTTCATTAGTCTGTGTAGGGTATAGATATCAGTACCGTCTCAGTTCATCTCTCTCAACTTGCCGTAGTTACTTTCGAGTGTAATGGGCAATCTCACAATTGCTAGTTTGTTGGCTCTGCGCTGCCGTAGCGCAAAGATGTCTGCCTCCATGGCTGCGAGACCCGCTCCTATGTAATTATAAATAACGAATTCTAAGGCAACGCAAATATTAAGGTTAAGAGGCTGAGCTCGTAGATGATGATAAATAACATAGTTATGATTAATATATTACATTTCTGACTGTATATCCCTGTAATTATTACACGCTGTAGCTTTAATGACCCAAAATAATTGACAAATATTAGGAAACATCTAAATAAAATATGCTGCAGCCTAATCGAGAAGGCTGAATTTAATTATACTTGCATTTAAAGTTCATTTGAATTTTATTTTAAAGTTTAGACTGACCTGTTGTTCCATCTGTTCCTAGGAAAGGAGTAAATACCCTGTCTGTCTCCTTGGTTGTTGTGTCAGATATTTGACCTGATGAATGAAAGCAACAAACAGTGAATAAAATCATATATATGCAACAAGTGTCAGGACTGGTGTTAGAAAAAATATACTAACAGCAGTCATGCTGAAAGTTGAGACTCCCTGACTTGTTGTTGAATCTAATTCTTTAACTTCTGCAAAAAACAGACAGCGCCTTTAGATCTCCGTATGATAAATAAAAACATATGATACAAACATTTATTTGTAAGAATGTCATAATATAAAACCTTATGAAGCTGAAATAACATTTATTTTACAGACTAATATTGTATCTTTAGAGACAGTAAACCTTATATGATGGTAGAGTTAATAACCTACTGTTAATCATAACTGATTGTATGTTACTGTCTGGAGACTGATGCTGTCCTCCATCTGTGTTCTTCACAGTGTAATAACATGTTAGTTCAACCTCAGCAGGGGAAGTTTGAAATGTCATGATCAGGAGCTCACGTCCTGACATTGTCTGCTCACAGGAGATGACTTTAGTTATCTTTGATGTTATGAAGTTTAAAAAACATTTATCCACAGAAACAAATGATGGAGTCCGACAGTTCAGTGTGACTGAGTCTGTCTCTGTGATGAGCTGTGGAGTCACAGTCAGCTCAGGTGGAGGAACTGAAAATAAAATGAAAATAATATAAATTAAATATTTGATCAAGACAGTAATCATGATTAGACCAGCAAAGGTATATTTACTCACTTTGTATGATGATGGTGAGCAAGTTACTGTTTGGAGATTGATGTCCGTCAAGGTAAAAACATGTTAGGCCTAAGTTAGCAGGTGACCTTTGCTTTGCTATAGACAAGATCTATCCTCCTTTTAGTGTTTTCTGACAATTAAACCTCCGAGCTTGACTTCCTCCAACAATGAAGAAATAACACTCAGTAACAGGAACAGAAGATGGAGGCTGACAGTCTAAAGTGACCGAGTCTGTCTCTGTGATCACCAGTGGGTTCACTGTCAGTGTAGGTGGAACAAGGTCTGAAAACATGAACAAATAAAGAGAGGAAAATTTAAAATATAAGTGAGGAATATTCAGTATATCTGTAAACATATTTTAAGACTCCTTAAAAATAATATTACTGTTTATGGAGATGATGGTTGATTCACTGTCTGTTGATGTAACATCTAAAGCTCCATATTTTACACTGTAGGAACATTTAACTTTGACCTCGGCTGGTAATATTTTCTCTGTCATCCTCAGCAGTTCAGATCCTGTCAGTGTTTCCACACAGGAGGAGGCTGCAGACATCTTTTTGTTTTCAATGTAGAAAACACACTGATCAGCATTAACATATGAGGTTGAACACTTTAATGTGACCGAGTCAGTCTCTGTGATCAGAAGTCGATCCACCTCTACTTTAGGTTGAGGAAGAGCTGAAAATTTAGAAGCATTTAGTTGTCAGATTTGATCAGCAAAAAAAATTATATTTACCACACAGACATTTAACTGAAACTGACCTTTAGCTCTGGCTTCATAAGACAAATCTGTGAAACAGATATTGAAAAGAAAATGTAGATGCAAGATGAATATCTTTTATAAATGCATATTTTTATTTTCAATTTCTAAAACATTTCAAAAAATCCCGGACTTTATGTAACAGAATTAATTTTAAATAACACAATATCAAGAATAAGACACTCAAACTTACTTAGGAGAATGCAGAACAGCAGCTCTAAAGCCATGATGAAGCTTTGGATGCTCTGAATAGAAAACATTGGTATGTTTCCTGTCTAATCTGACTATGACCGATGTAAGTTTCAGAAGCTACTGTTAAAATAATCCACATGATCAGAAGTGGACCCTCCCTCTTGGCACAGGAAGAAGTACTTTATACACCTTATAAACACACCACATCTAAAATGCATAGGTGTTTCAGACCACAGTATCGATTAACCATACCAAAAAGGGAACCATCTATTTTTTGTACCACTAACTTTACTGAGAGAAATGTTAATAAGGTTTCTATGTTTCACTTCTGAATCCCTTGCATGTTCTCACTTTAAAATGTTTAAGCAATGCAGTCAATCCTGTTGGTTAGACTTTCCTTTCTGATTCCTATTAAGTGTCCTCAGAGGCAGCTTTTTGATCACAGGTTTAAAAAAAAAAAGGTTAAACAAATATCTTAATTAAAGATATGTAGTGCATGATGTAACTCAAGAAAAAATTTGCAATGTTAGTAAACTGGTTTTAGGCTAAATATTCCCACAAATAAAATACACCAGAGTTATGTCCATAATAACTTTATTTATCCAGGAAGCAACAAAAAACTTTTTAAACAAAAAAAAAATAATTCACCAAAAAGAAAATGTACATACTGTTTAACATAGCAGTTCTAAAATAATAATATAATTGAACTTTATTTCAGATTGGAGAAATTTACCTGTGCATTTAAGCCATCCCCTTGGGGAGCAGTGGGCTGCCATCATGTGGCGCCCGGGGAGCAGTGTGTGGTTAAGGGTCTTGCTCAAAGACCCAGAGTGGCAGTCTGTGGGAGTGAGGCTCGATCTCAGGACCTCAGGATTCCATGCTCTATGCCCTAACAACTAGGCTGCCACTCTCCAATAAAGGAATCATTTAATCAGTTTGATTTATTACAATATATCTGAAAATATCTAGGAGTAACTTTTTGATCAGTTTAAATCAGTTTATGGTATTTAGTAAGTTCAGGCAAAGTTTTTATATTAAGACTGTTACAAAATCCTTAAAGAGGCAATAAAATTAGGAAAACAAAATTATAATGCAAGTATTAGTAATCACAGCAGATAAAACATAATGGATCATCTAAATGATTTTATTTACACTCAGTCTGGCTGCAGTTCACTTGTCTGAGGCTCTGACATTCAGTTGTTACTCTGTGAAAGCAAAAAGGTATTTATTAAAATCCCTGTAGAAATGTTTTGCTCGACTTTTTCACCTATTGCTCCCCCTAGTGGCCAAGCTACCATGAACGTTATAGTTCCTTCACAAATACTAACAGCTTACCAGTGTTGCAGCTGCAGTTAGCAGCCCTGCAGGTTCATTACATCCTGCCTGTAAATGATGTAATAACATGGAGAAAGACATTTTCATTGGAAAAATAACATTTGCTTAATGCATCATGTTATCATTTTAGCACAGGGTACTTTAACAAACCTCTTTGTTTTTTAAAATGAACATTGGCATTTGTTCAACTGAAAAAGATCAAAAAGAGATACTTTATAAAAGGAAGCATAAACGCAAGAGTCTTTTATTACTGCTGTTTGACAAAGTTGTCAAAAAAAATCACTTTTTGTTAATAAGAAAGGAACTTTATTTCATTTACCTGATATTTCAGCTATTGATCTAAAGCACCAAAGGAAAAAAAAAAAAGTTATTCACTGTGTGTTAGATAGAACTGAGATTTCAAAAAGACTTGTTTTAGATACAGAATAAGTTAAAATGATACCCTCTAATTATTAGGATTTGATGTATCAAAGTATATTATAAATGACCCACTCTTTATTAAATGCATTCATGAACTGACCAATGACCCTCAAAAACATCTCTATGTAACAGAATCAAGGTTATAGAGGTTATAGAGGTTGTACAGTTGTCTACAGTGTGTTTCTTGTTTGGAAAATTGTATTATGGAGATACCAATGAGGTGGTCAGTGGTGAGAGCTGGTCATACTTTAAAATAGTCAGTTCTGGTCACCAGATGACACATAACTATATCTGTAATAAATAAATTTGCAATGCTGAACTGAGGATTTAAAAAGACTGTTTAAAAAATACTAATACTAATTTTCAACACCAACTTTAGAAGTTATTTGTGTCACTTTAGACCTTTGTGCTAATAGAATGCCAGAAAAAGCAAATCTTCAGGTTTTTAAAGTGAAGAAGAGTCTGACAATCCCAAATTATGTTCCCTCTCCAACAGTGGTGTAAAATCTGAAACTAAACTGTAAAAAGAAAGAAATGGGAAATCAAATGAAGGCAACAAATCCCATGAATATACTGAGATTTCTTACCTATCTGAGCGTTTAAAAGAAATATTAAAGATGTTAAAACATTTTGAAACTTTTTTGATGGGTAATTCAGTAAATTCAGTTTGGTCATTTTTGTAAATACAAGTAAAATATAAATTTAACATTTAAAAAGTCGGTTTGAATCAAAACAACAGCTTAATAATGTTGTATTATAATTTTTCTTACCCATCCTTCTTGTACAAAAACGGAGGGTGAATCCGAACAGGACTAAAGAGATAATTGTAACTAATATGATCCTCCGGATCATCAGCACTGCATGAAGAAAACAGACAAGAACAGTACTTAAGCAGTATTAAAAATAATAGTTTTAAAATTGTATTGTTTTAATCTTAAATTATACTATATGTGTTCTTTCTATGTGTATATGAACTTCATAGAGTGTTTGATGTATACGTGGTTTAGAGGAAAACAGAAGTTCAACTTTATAAAAAAGTAAGGCAACACGCCTCTCGTTAATAATCTGGCAACCACATTTATTGTTTGTCTGTATGTACATAAAGTACATATAGGATTTTAATTTCCCCAAAAAACACAGATGTCAATCTGAAGATAGTTGTTGCAAACTATGAAGCTTTGACATAAAATCAAAAATTATCAAATTTAATTAGTCTGTTCAATTTCGCTTTGAGGTTCAATAAAGATACACTATATTGCCAAAAGTATTTGCTCACCCATCCAAATTATTGGAATCAGGTGTTCCAATCACTTCCATGGCCACAGGTGTATAAATTCAAGCACCTAGGCATGCAGACTGTTTTTACAAACATTTGTGAAAGAATGGGTCGCTCTCAGGAGCTCAGTGAATTCCAGCGTGGAACTGTGATAGGATGCCACCTGTGCAACAAATCCAGTCGTGAAATTTCCTCGCTCCTAAATATTCCACAGTCAACTGTCAGCTGTATTATAAGAAAATGGAAGTGTTTGGGAACGACAGCAACTCAGCCACGAAGTGGTAGGCCACGTAAACTGACGGAGCGGGGTCAGCGGATGCTGACGCGCATAGTGCGAAGAGGTCGCCAACTTTCTGCAGAGTCAATCACTACAGACCTCCAAACTTAATGTGGCCTTCAGATTAGCTCAAGAACAGTGCGCAGAGAGCTTCATGGAATGGGTTTCCATGGTCGAGCAGCTGCATCCAAGCCATACATCACCAAGTGCAATGCAAAGCGTCGGATGCGGTGGTGTAAAGCACGCCGCCACTGGACTCTAGAGCAGTGGAGACGCGTTCTCTGGAGTGACGAATCGCGCTTCTCCATCTGGCAATCTGATGGACGGGTCTGGGTTTGGCGGTTGCCAGGAGAACGGTACTTGTCTGACTGCATTGTGCCAAGTGTAAAGTTTGGTGGAGGGGGGATTATGGTGTGGGGTTGTTTTTCAGGAGCTGGGCTTGGCCCCTTAGTTCCAGTGAAAGGAACTCTGAATGCTTCAGCATACCAAGACATTTTGGACAATTCCATGCTCCCAACTTTGTGGGAACAGTTTGGAGCTGGCCCCTTCCTCTTCCAACATGACTGTGCACCAGTGCACAAAGCAAGGTCCATAAAGACATGGATGACAGAGTCTGGTGTGGATGAACTTGACTGGCCTGCACAGAGTCCTGACCTCAACCCGATAGAACACCTTTGGGATGAATTAGAGCGGAGACTGAGAGCCAGGCCTTCTCGTCCAACATTAGTGTGCAACCTCACAAATGCGCTTCTGGAAGAATGGTCAAAAATTCCCATAAACACACTCCTAAACCTTGTGGACAGCCTTCCCAGAAGAGTTGAAGCTGTTCTAGCTGCAAAGGGTGGACCGATGTCATATTGAACCCTATGGATTAGGAACGGGATGTCACTTAAGCTCATATGTGAGTCAAGGCAGGTGAGCAAATACTTTTGGCAATATAGTGTATCAAGAGGTTGTTTAAATTGAATAACTACTTTTGAATCTTATTTTCTATTTTAACTTCCTGAGTAATATGCATAGATTAGAACTAAAATGTTTAACTCTAGGTTAGATTTCTATTCTTCTATTTAGAGTTAGAAAACATCAAAGCTAAGAAGTAAAGTTCTTCATGGAATCTGAAATTAGAATAGGCGACATGAGCATCACTAAGAGTTTAGTATGTAAAAATGTGTTCTGGGCCAAGCAATTAAGTAATATTGTTCTATGGTGTTTCTGATAATTAGAGAGTCAACAAAAAGTGTGAAATAGTCCAGTTGATATATATACTTCTGTTCAATATTCCTATCTATTAGATATTTATTGACTTCAACAGCTCTGGTTTATATTTGGGTGCAGTTTGCGGATTCCTAAAGGTTACAGCTTAATTAATCTATCTTTAAAAATGTATACAACGATAAACAGCATGTTAATGTTCAATAACTTTTGTTCATGAAAGAGGATAGATAAATGACTTTTTATATCCCACGGTTTGTTTCAAATCCAGAAAAACAGCTGTTGAATCTATGAAGTTCATGTTTAAAGCTAATAAA